TAATTCCAGACTTTGTGGTTTTATTTATTCTATTCGGTTTATTGAGTTGCGTTTAATGCGTTTGATCTTGTTGGCCATTTGATTGAATGAACTTAGGGTTTTAATTCGCATAGACATACGAGATGCTAACCTGAAAATAACTCAATAAATAGAACAGGTATTGCATTGAGAGATGAATATTTGCCTAGGGATTATGATAGCGTTCGTTCATACATCCAGGGTTTTAGACTATTGAATCGAGAGATTAGTAGGATAAAGCTTGGATAGTGAGGTTAGACTCAAGAGGGATAATCTCTACTTTAGAGCTTGAATTCCCTGAATCGGATAGATAAACCACCGAGTTTGCATCTTTTGAAAGACCCTTGCATGTAAAGCAATCCCGAAGCCTGCAGTATTTTGCTATTGATAGTTTATCATTTGTTTTAGGGATAATCCCATATTCCCCCACCAATTGTACTTAAAGTTCCAATTTCCTACACGAATTTTCAATTTTCCAAAAACTTACACCGAAATTCAAATCTTCCCGAATTCCCCCACGGAATATTGAAATTGATTCCAGTCTCATACACAACGGCTTACGGCGTGAAACGAAACACAATTCCGTTAAAATCGTAGGTGATGTGGCACGACACGTCAGAAAAATTGTCCACATGTATAAGCCACGTGTGAAATCGAAAAACCGAAAATCACCAATTAAACCGAGTCGGTTTCCACATTTAACCGGAAAAATAAATAAAAAAAATAAAAAAAACCCAAATATGCTGTAACCTAATTCCTCAAAATCGACCTCCTCCCTTCAAAACACCACATTCACTCTCATCCTTCCTCTCTCTCCAGACCGTCGACACCATCATCGGCCACAACTCCGGCTACAGTCGGCCTCAACTCCGGCGAGATTCGGACTCGAATCCGGCGACACTCGGCCCCGATACCGGAGACACTGTACTCGAGCGCGAACCTCTTCTCCTCCGGAGTGACGGTAATTTTCGATGGCTTTGTCCTCCTCCGACGTACTCGTCCGTGAACCTATCCTCCTCATTATGCCCTTACATTTTCGAATTTATAGGTTTTATTGGTTCATGTTAGATGAGTTTGTTTTAATGTGGTATGATATGTTCAATGGGTATAGGCTGATGTGTTTGATTCTGTTTTGTGTTTCAGTTGTGTGTTTTTGGGATATAGGTTAATTTGGTTGAAGACCAAATTATGTTGTTTTTTGGGTGATTCGGTTGAACCTCAATTTCCGAACAAACCAAGTCCAATTGTCGGTGTCTTCGATACGCACAACAGCCCAAGCAATTGGATAAATACCGTCATTGGCATCTCTACCTACTGCAGAAAGAAGTTCCCCTTTAAAGTCCCACTTCAAGAAACATCCATCTAACCCGATAACCGGACGACAATCAGGTAATGATTTTATTTGAAAATTGTTGTTTGATTGTTTAGAGGTGAATAACATTTTTTTTCTGATGTAATGGGATGTAGGGGAACCACTCTCACGTATTTAAATGGCTCGATGAAGCTATTGTCGAAGAAATCGAGGATATACATGTTGAACAACAACAACAACAAGGTGCTGAAATAGAACGAATGAAATCTAAATTGCAAAAACTGGAAACAGGGAAGGAAGAGTTGGAAACGAAGTTGGAAAAAATGGAAACAGAGAAGGAAGAGTTGGAAGCGAAGTTGGATAAAACTCAAAGAAAAAACCAAGAATTGGAAGGCAAGGTGGGAGAAATTGAAAAAGAGAAGAAGGAAATGGAATACAAATTGTTGGTGCTTTTGTTTATTTTTGTGTCAGTTTATATGTATTATTATGGTTTGTCTGTTATTTGAAGTTTTCCATGACATGTATGGATGAATGTGTTTGTAGTATTTGAAGAACGTTAGACAAGACTAGTTATTTTGTATCCATGGATCATGGTTGTTTAGAGACAATGTATCTAATATGAATTATGTATGGCTTTAAAAAGTGTGTTATATGATATATATGTATACACGTGTCTAAAACAGAATAAATTAGACTATAATATACCAAAAAAAGGCATTACAAGACATGAACTCATAGATGCATACATTGTCTTAAACCCAAAATAAAACACGAGTTCATAGATCTCATACACATTGTCTTAAACCGAAAATTAAACATGAGTAGATGTCATCCAAGACAACCCAAAATAAAACATCAGTAGATTCTCATAGTGTCATTTCGATAGCAATAACAAATAAGGATCATATTCTTCAATCTCCTTGTACTTGTTTTCCTGATCTGCAAGCCAAGTAAAAAGAAAAAAACATCAATTTATTGATATTAACGGAAACAAAAGATTGTTGAACAGAATGAAAAAAAACCCGACTTACCGAACATTAGAACTAGCATGTGATATATCAGCTTGCCTTGGTATTGAAAAAGGCTGTGGAGGAGTTGTTGTAATCCTGACATTGCTTGGTACCATTCCAAGGAGACGACGACGTCTACTAGTGAGAGGAAGCCCGGACTGCATTGTCTGACTCGATTGAGTGGGTATGGAAGCACCTTTCATAGAAAAAAAAAGAAATATATGAATTGTAAGAAAAATATGAAAGTTACCAATTTCACCTTGAACTGAGTTATCTGATTGTGCATTGCTACTCGAGGGTGTATTGCTGGCCGATTGTGCATTGCTACTCGATGGTCTTGGTTCATTCTTGCACGTCTTTGCATTATGACCAGGTTGTTTGCAGAGTCTGCATCGGAAAACTCTTCCATGTCGGGTCATGTGACCGCTCTTTGATGTTGACTCCTGAGGCTCTTTGATTCTTTTGTGTTTTTTGGGTCGCCCGGTCATTGTTTTGGTGGTAGGGACACCAATTGGAGGTCTGTCTGATCTCGCCCAAGCCGGCTCACCATTTACGGGTAATATGTTATGTTCATAAATTGATCGCCATGGGGATGTCAGAAGGTAATGAGACATATACCTGCAAAATGGGAAGATAGTCCGTTATTCATGTACTATTGTCCAAACGTTATGTAAATACAAAAGAAAATAGAATTACCTTGAAAGGTTTTCTCGATTGACTTTTATGACAGCTAAGGAATGCTAGCAAGGGATACCTTTCAACTGCCATCGACGACAACCACACGTTCTAGCAGGAAAATCAACCGCATAACTTACCCCAAACTCAGACACCTCATATTTTCCGTGTCCACTCCGAATGATGTAACAATGACGAGATTTCTCACGAGACTTCTCTAAAGCTTTCATGATTCTCGGAGGAAACTCTGTTTTGCACCTTTCTGATTGACTTGCACGTCGCACTATCCTCCGCATCGTACTCCTTCGAATATCTTCAAGCATATCAATCATGGGACGGCTACGCGCTTCTTTGATGGACCCATTGAAACTCTCCGATAAGTTGTTGTTAACGTCATGACATTTAGTGTCCGGGTTAAAAAATGCACGACACCATTTCTTCGGTTGGGCCCTCATAAAACCATCATAAGCCAAAGGGTTATACATTCGGATATCACGTACATATTGACGAAACTCACTTTCTAGGTAGCTCTTGGCAGCCTTCCAAAACAGAAGTTTTAGTTCGAGGTCCTTGAATTGTTTCTTCCAATTCGCAAATACATATCGTGTGCACATCCTATGCTCAGCCAAAGGTAACTGTCCTTCGATGGCATTCACCAAACCCTGGTCATAGTTACATAGTAATAGTTAGAATCTTATGTCTGTATAATGTATTTTAAACAAAATTAAGAAGTTAAACATACCTTCTGCTTGTCAGACAAAATGGTTAAGTTTTTACCATCGCCCAAACTAAATCTAACCTCAATTTCCGAACAAACCAAGTCCAATTGTCGGTGTCTTCGATACGCACAACAGCCCAAGCAATTGGATAAATACCGTCATTGGCATCTCTACCTACTGCAGAAAGAAGTTCCCCTTTAAAGTCCCACTTCAAGAAACATCCATCTAACCCGATAACCGGACGACAATGTCTTGTCCATGACTCTCGTAGGACATCGAAGCATACGTAGAATCTGTGAAACACCTGCTGCCCCGAAGCTGCGTTTGTTCCGATTTCAGTACTCGTATTGGGGTTTGAACGTTGCAGCTCTAACTCATAGTCCCACAATTTCCTAAATTGGACTTCTTGATCTTCCCTAACAACTTTCAAGGCCAAACTTCTAGCCTTGAAACACTTGGTAAGCGAGACTGTCAGATTATGATCCCGTTGTATCTCATCCTGTATCTTTTTCCCCTTAAAACTCGGATCAGCCCTAATCTTCTCAACGTACAAGTTTGCTATTTGCCTCATCGTTAGCATATTAGCATACTTCTCCGCAATGTGGTTGTGATCGTCTTTATAGATCTTGATCATCCATTTATTGATTGAGACCTCAACCGAACAATAAATCCTCCATGGACAGCCCACATTACAACACACTGCGGCCAATTTTGTTCGATCCCACCTGGACAACTTCACGTTGAAGTTTTTATTTATCACATAGTCAAACAACGCCTTCTTAAATTCTTCACCCGAATTGAAAGGTTTACCAAGATATAAGAACTCGTTACTCGGGAATGTTGTCGGAATCTTTGTCTTAGGCTTGTCAAAATTATCCCATTCTTCATCAGTTCCTTCAGGTGTGAGGGGGATATGATCATCACTATCTAAATAATCCGCACTCCAATTCACTTCTTCATCTTCAATAACATCAACTTCATCAACAACAGGAACTTCAACAAAATCATCATCACTACTTTCATATTCCCTAAATTCATCCATATAATCAGAAGACTCATCGTATACCCAACTGTATCATCGCAGCATACATAATCATCATCCGCAGCACTGTCATAATCAATCAAATCCTCTTCAACTAACCTATCTACCCTTTGCTTGACTGGAGTGGGCTGAGATATATGGTGGTCTATGTATACATCTAACTCCCCACATAAGGTTGTCATTTCAAACATTAACTTCATTTCATTATCCCCACATCCTTGCACCACATGTCTCTTTTCATCCAAACTCTCATATGGTAATTTAAACCACACATCTTTGAGTGCACCACTTATGTTATGAGATTTAACAAAATCTTTCACAAAACTCCAAGACATAATATTCATATCAACCATAACACCTTCCTCCACAAATCCATTAATGTAATAGCTTTTTCCGTCTATTTCTTCCATACTTCCAGCCATATGAAAGTTGATTTTACACCAACTAAAAAAAATGAATGCATTCTATCACTATCTATTCATAAAATATACCACCTTCCAATCAACAACAAAACTAGAAACTTACCTCATTTTCGAAGAAATCGAGTTGTAAACCGAGGGTCTGTTGTATCACAAAGATCCACAAACACCGATATCTATAAACCATGAACACACAATCAGACATTTCTGAAATTCCACAATCGTCTACAATCGAGTTCCTCTCAATATATCACACCATTACATATTTCGATATTCTCTAAGCTCAAACCGCCATCAAACAACATCATCAACCTATAATATCACATAACCCAATTACACTATCACCTAAATACACAAAACCAATTAAGACTAAAAAACACAGGGGAGAAAGTCGCGGAACATTACTGTCACGTTGGAGAAGGAGATGTTCACGTCCGAGTAGGGTGTCGCCGGAATCGAGGCTGCGTGTCGCCGGAGTAGCGACTGAGTCTCGCCGGAATCGAGGATGGAGTCGATGGGCTGGAGAGAGATGACGGATTACAGTGGGTGTCGTGGTCTAGAGTGGATATGAGAGTCAACAATAAGGCCGGGAAAGGATCTCGCCGGTGATGAGGCTCGCGGCGGAGAGGACTGTCCAGCCAGAAAGGGCTCTCACCGGAGAAATCAGAGGATGTCGACTTTTGGAGATTTAGAAATCAGAAGAAATGGTGAGTGTGGTGTTTTGGAGGGAGGAGGTCGAATTAGGTCACAACAGATTTGGTTTTTTTTTTCAATTTATTTTTTCGGTTAAATGTGGAAACCGACTCGGTTTAATTGGTGATTTTCGGTTTTTCGCTTTCACACGTGGCGTATACATGTGGACAATTTTTATGACATGTCGTGCCACATCACCTATGATTTTAACGGAATTGTGTTCCGTTTCACGCCGTAAGCCGTTGTGTATGAGATTGGAATCAATTTCAATATTCCGTGGGGGAATTTGGGAATATTTGAATTTCGGTGTAAGTTTTTGGAAAATTGAAAATTCGTGTAGGAAATTGGAACTTTAAGTACAATTGGTGGGGGAATATGGGATTATCCCTTTGTTTTATTATTTACTTTTGACACATTCTCATCATTCATATTATTCTTTAGATCTATTCCTGATAGGAGTTTGATTCAGTTGTCTACTTTTGTCCCTGTGTTCGACCCCAGCTTTTACAATCGATCCGTACACTTGCGGTATTTGTTGAGTCTAGGTTATTATTACTTGATCATATTTCTTAGATTTGCGACATCATAGACTCTACCTGGAAGATCAAGAGAAGAAGAAGCTTATAGAAGCATCGACTTCTGGTGTCTTCGTTATAGATGCTAACTTGTTTACTTCCACATCGTGGGTATTGGATACCGAAAGTGCCTTGCACATTTGTGAAAATGTGCAAGGGTTGTGAGGAAGTAGACAGTTGGCAAAAGGAGAAGTAGATCTCCATGTTGGGAATGGAGCAAAGGTTGCTGCATTAGCCATCGGGACTTACGATCTGACTTTACCTTCTGGACATGTATTGGAGTTGCATGATTGCAATTATGTTCCTGCCGTTAGCAAGAACATTATGTCGATTTCATGCTTAGACTCGGATGGTTTCAGATTTGTTATTGAGAACAAATGTCTGTCCATTTATAGAGGTGATTTGGTAAAGATTACCAGTTGAATGGCCTTTATGCTTTGGATGATAAACCGTCAAGATACAGTCAATCTATAACGTGAGTACTAAACGGTTTAAGCCGAACAACTTAAACCCGACCTTCCTCTGGCATTGTCATCTAGGCCATATAAACGAGAAATGCATACAGAAGCTTCATTCTGAAGGTTTTCTGGATTCATTTGACTTTGAGTCTCTTGAATCTTGCGAGTCTTGTTTGATGGGCAAGATGACAAAGCATCCTTTCAAGGGGAAAGGACAGAGAGCGACATAGTTGTTGGATCTGATACATAGTGATGTATGCGGACCAATGAGCTGTCCAGCTAGAGGAGGTTATCTGTATTTCGTTATGTTCACTGATGATTTCAATCGATACGGTTATGTCTATTTGATGAGACATAAGTCTGAAACACTTGAAATGTTCAAGGCTTTCAGAAATGAAGTACAGAACCAGCTTGGCAAGACGATCAAGACACTTCGATCGGATCGTGGTGGCGAGTATATGAGCCAAGAGTTCACTGACTATCTGGTTGATTGTGGTATTGTATCACAATTAACTCCTTCTGGAATGCCATAGTGGAACGCGTGTCTGAACGGAGGAACCGAACACTGTTAGACATGGTTCGGTCAATGATGAGTTAGACAGATCTTCCGTAGTCCTTTTGGGGCTATGCTTTAGAGACCAATGCATACCTGTTGAACAGGAGTCCAACGAAGTCGGCTGAAATGACGCCATATGAGATATGGATGGGGAAGCGTCTCGCGTTGTCGTTTTTCAGAATTTGGGGTTGTGATGCTTATGTAAAGCGTCAGATGACTGATAAGTTATCCTCCAAATCTGATAAGTGTTTATTTGTAGGCTACCCTAAGGAAACTAAGGGTTACTACTTCTATATTCCGGCAGAGAACAAGGTGTTCATTGCCAGGAATGCAACTTTTATGGAGCGAGAGTTCATCTCCAAAAGAGTTAGTGGGAGTAGGATCGAACTTGAGGAAGTTCGAGAGCAGCAAGTAGACGCTGAGCCGAGTGAACAAGTTGAAGAAGTTCATCCTGTTTCACTGCCGGTTGTGACTCAACCTTCAAGAGTGAGCCTCGTAGATCAGGCAGGATTCGCCAAGAGCCTGTGAGATACGGATTTCTCCTGAATGGGAATGAGGAACTCATGTTATTAGAACATGACGAGCCTACCACATACCCGGAGGCTATGGCGAGTCCGGATTCCGAGAAATGTCGAGGCTATGAAGTCCGAGATGCAATCCATGTCAGACAACCAAGTATGGACTCTGGTTGATGCGTCTGAAGGGATAAAACCCATCGGATGCAAGTGGATCTTCAAGAAGAAGACCGACATGGATGGCAACGTGCACACGTATAAGGCACGACTTGTGACGAAAGGATTCTGTCAAATTCATGGTATTGACTATGATGAAACGTTTTTACGTGTAGTTATGCTGAAGTCCATCAGGATCTTACTTGCCATAGCCGCATATTATGACTATGAGATATGGCAAATGGATGTCAAGACCGCGTTCCTTAACGGGAACTTGTCCGAGGATGTATACATGACACAACCCGAAGGTTTTGTCGATCCAAGGAACCCGAGGATGGTGTGCAAGCTTCAAAGGTCCATTTATGGACTGAAGCATGCTTCGAGGAGGTGGAACCTTCGCTTTGATGAGACAATCAAAAGGTTTGGTTTCTCACAGAACGAAGACGATCCATGTGTTTACAAGAAGGCTAGTGGGAGCACAGTAGTATTTCTAGTGCTGTACGTAGATGACATTCTTCTTATAGGGAATGACGTTCCTACCTTGGAAGACGTTAAGTCTTGACTAGGAACGCAGTTTTCTATGAAGGATCTAGGAGAAGCGGCCTATATTCTAGGCATCATGATCTATAGAGATAGATCGAGACGTCTTCTAGGATTGTGTCAGAGTACATACATCGATAAGGTCTTGAAACGGTTCGAGATGCAAGATTCCAAGAAAGGAACCTTACCGATGAGTAGTGGCACAGTTCTCTGCAAGAGTCAGTGTCCTACGACACCTGATGAGCGAGAACGCATGGATCGGATTCCATATGCTTCGGCAATTGGATCCATCATGTATGCCATGCTTTGTACTCGACCGGATGTATCCTACGCGTTGAGCATTACGAGTAGATACCAGTCAGATCCAGGTGAGTCACACTGGATCGCCGTCAAGAACATTCTGAAGTACTTGAAGGAGAAAGGATGTATTCTTGGTATACGGTGGGTCAGAAGACGAGCTCGCTGTAAAGGGTTACACCGATGCTAGTTTCCAGTCAGACCCGGATGACTACAGATCGCAGCCTGGCTATGTTTTCTGCTTGAACGGAGGCGTTTTTAGCTAGAAGAGTTCCAAGCAAGCGACTGTTGCAGATTCTACTATAAAAGCTGAGTATATTGCAGCGTCGGACGCATCAAAGGAAGCTGTTTCGATCAGGAAGTTTGTTGGTGACTTGGGTGTGATTCCTAGTGCTGATAGCCGCATTGCTCTGTATTGTGACAACAATGGAGCGATCTCACAAGCGAAATAACCCAGATCCCATCAACAATCCAAACACATACTCAGACGATTTCACCTTATCAGGGAGATCATAGACAGAGGAGACGTGCACATTTGCAGAGTGTCGACAGATGACAACATTGCCGATCCGTTGACGAAGCCTCTCCCTTCGTCGAAGCATGAGGGTCATGTTAGGGATATGGGCATTAGATATTTAGCAGTCCATGATTAGAGCAAGTGGGAGATTGTTGGTTTAGTGCTCTATGATGTATTGTTTGCGAGCTTTATTAAGATACATTTGATGTATTGACACTTTCTATAGTTTATGGATGAGTGTTTGATTCATTACGTATTGTGCATGCTTTAATATGTTATAAAATCCATATATTGTTATGAACGATACTAAAACTCCCTAGTCGTGGGAATAATGATATATCAATACTAGTATGATGTGTGATTGATGATCATATAGATGATCATAGGTATTGGATACGATCACAATCATAGGTATTCGTTGGAGAACGGAATACTGGATTGACCCGCATGAGATTGTCACATGGACTAACGTCATGACTTGAATCTCATATGACGGTTCCATGATTGGATCCTAAGACCTGAGATATCTACGGAATCCAACATGAGGAGTTTTGTGCTTTGAATGCGTCAAACGTCCTGCGTAACAGGAGGACTATAAAGGCGTGTATCAGGTACGAAACGAATCATGTGCTGGATTGTATATAGTCAAGATTGGATTTGTACCTCTTGTAAAAGAGAGAGATATCGATGGGCCCCTCGTGTGAGCGAGACTGTAGAAATGTGTGGTCGCACTATAGACGAACGTCGTCTGTTTCAGACAGTCGAACTCAGTGAACGAGAAAGCAGTCGAATCAGATAAGATGG